GCTAGCTGTGGCTAGCTGTGACTAGCTGTGGCTAGCTGTGGCTAGCTGTGGCTAGCTGTGACTAGCTGTGGCTAGCTGTGGCTAGCTGTGACTAGCTGTGGCTAGCTGTGGCTAGCTGTGGCTAGCTGTGGCTAGCTGTGGCTAGCTGCCTTCAGAGAGCTAGTGGCCGCTCTGGCTACCAGCAGCAAGCTAGCTAGCTAGCTAGCTGCAGCATCCTGCAGCTAGCCAGCTAGCTGCAGCCAGCCAGATAGCTTTAGCTCGAGCTAGCCAGCTAGCTGGCTATTTAGCTAGCTAGCTAGAGTTAGCTAGCTAGCTAGCTAGCTAGCTAGCTAGCTAGCTAGCTAGCTAGCTAGCTAGCTAGCTAGCTAATTAGCTAGCCAGAAAGCTACAGCTAGCCACGCTCGTCCCCACGCAGTGAAATTCGTGAAGTGACCGAACAGCAAAGGGTGTAGAGAAGTTTAGCAACTGGGTATACGTAGGGTTTAGGGTTTAGGGTTTAGGGTTTAGGGTTTAGGGTTAAGGGTTTAGGGTTTAGGGTTTAGGATCAGCGGTTAAGAACTTAGGCCGCAACACTATTAACTGATTGATTAGTTCACTTGCTTATGTGTTTGCTATTTATTTATTTATTTATTTATTTATTTATTTATTTATTTATTCATTTACTTTGTCTCTGCTGTTTTACTCCCAGCCTTTTTGCTCACTGGCCCACCCCCTAAACCCTAAACCCTAAACCCTACACCCTAAACCCTAAACCCTAAACCCTAAACCCTAAACCCTAAACCCTAAGTCATTACCTACAAGCCCTAGCTTACAAACCACGGAGCCAGAATCTATGATTATAAACGCTAAATATAAAACCCTGAACTCTAAACTCTAAACCCTAAACCCTAAACCCTAAACCCTAAACCCTCGAATAACAACAACCCCACCCATTAATTATGTCTTCCCGGAAGCCCCAAGGGCCTGCAGAAATTGAGAGAATGTTGAATGCTTTAAAGTCGCGAATTTCGTCAATTTTTTAGGGTTTAGGGTTTAGGGTTTAGGGTTTAGGGTTTGGGCGCCAGGCCCACAGGTCTCTTGCCGGGGCCCCACAGTGCCCCTGCGCTGCCAGCAGCAGCAGCAGCAGCAGCAGCGGCGAGGCAGCAGAACCCCTTTTCCCTGGCCTTCTGCCTAGGGTTTAGGGTTTAGGGTTTAGGGTTTAGGGTTTGGGGCCCATGAGCTGGCGCCTCATAAACCCTACTTCTGGCAACATCTGGGCAGTACCCCCTGGGGGGCCCCTCCCCCTCCCCCCTCCTTGTCCTTTTTGCTTTTCTTCTTTTCCAAATTGCTGCCAAACTAATAAACCCAAATCCACAAGTTCC